AATGCATTATATTGCAATTGAAAAAGAGCACTTGATGTGTATTTCTTATTTCAATTCCGTTTAGCTTCATTTTACCTCGTCGAAACTAGAAAAAAGAACGTAAGCACTACTTTCAATCAAATTAAGTTGAAAGCTCCGCTACGGTTGTGTGTGTGTGTATATATATATATGTATATATGTGTGTGTGTTACCGCGTTATCTTTATTTTCTTTGACTGGATTTTCTCGCGCCGCGGCAGCTGTCTGGCACGTCGAAATCGCAAAAAACGCATAACAATTGCTACGCTAATGAACAAGCTATTATCCGTGAGGACAATTTTACAGTCAGTAATCGTCGAATGTAAGTGAATTGCGTGAACTTTATGCGCGATTGATTTTATTCTCTTTGCTCGAGTGAAATACATTTTCCTGTGCCGGGCCATCAGAATGAATTATTATTCGATCTGTAGAAGAGAAGTGGCATGAAAGGGAAAGCCGTGGAAAGATTGAATAATTCAACAATCACATGCCTTTGCGGAAAAACGATAAATAATTCAGGATTTTGTTTAGTCCACGGGAGCGTTCTAGAAATGAAAGTACACACTTTGAGATAATATCGGGCGCGATGCCAGACGATCAGCGAGTCATTTTATGCGTGTTTGTTTCTCAGAACAGTCTCGCACAAAGAAAAATCGCACTCGTCGACCCGGCAAAAGATCAATTCCGACGAAGAGAAGACTCGCAAAGTCGACGGTATTATACACGTGATGAGCGCCAGGCAAACATATCGCGCGGAGCGCTGCCATATCAAAAAAGTTACAGACACTATCCGAGCGCAAATGGCATTAGCAAATGCTCTCTAATACGAGCGAATAGCTCGACACGTGCACACGTGCTTTTTTTGTTCGGAAGGCGTAGCCGCTCAATTTCTCGCCTCCTCCTCTCTCTCTCTCTCTCTCTCTCTCTCTCTCTCTCTCTCTCGCTGCGGCGCACATGCGCGCGCTTGTCCTTAATATGACTTGTGATTTCTTTTTTTTTATGCAGCTACTGTGGAAATCGCTTATATGGATTTTTTTACATGTTTTTTTTCATTGTCTTCGTCGTTGTTACTCGCTGAGGATTATTGGGACTTTTCTTTCATGTTTTTGATAGAGAGAAAATGCGTAGATATATAATTATTCAAGTGTCAATTTTCTTTAAACGATTAATGTTTTATTTCATGACATTATTGCATATTAAAAATTGAAGAAAAACAGAAATCAATTTTACAAAAAACCATAAACTATTTGTACGATGCACAAATATTCTTAAGTGATTGTTCGCTATGAATTAAGCAGCGAGCGGTGCACATTTTGGAACGAAATTACGGATAGTCTACGACAGCATCGCAGCAACTGCTGTCCTTTGAGCATTGATACGCGAGCGAAAGCAATGATCGGGCGCGGCCAGCAGTTTGACTAATAATAATTGTCATGCTTCGCGCAACACTCGGAGTTCCTCTGGCGCGAGCTCACTTTCTTTAATAGTCAGTAGACAAAGTGCTCGAGGCATTACTTTGATACCGGAAATTCCGCGAGCTCGCGCGCGTAATTGATTCAATTTTAGAAATTGACTCGTTTCCGTTTTTCGCCATATGAATTGAATTCGAACGATCGCGACAAAAAAAAATTATCATTCGGAGTAATGGTTTTTCGAACGCAATAGAGCTTTATCTGCAAGGCAAGCGGCGATTTACATAAACGTATGGCGCTTGAGTGATGAGGAACAACTTTTAAAGACTACTAGAGCTTGCCAACGAAACCCTTCTGTCGCTGTCGAGCCAATTGAAAGAAGCACGACGATGGCTCAACGAAACACAGAAAAAGAAAAAACAAAGAAAAAAAAAGAGTCGGAAGCCCGCAAGTCATGGCACAGCGAAGAGGCCAAAAAGAGAGATAAGGTGTGTCGTCACATGCGAGGGGGTTGTCGCGTGCTGACTATGGCTCTTATTCATTGCGTCAGCACGGCGCGATCTGATTGATTTGAGTGCGTTTTGCAAACGCTCACGCAATACCCTGTCTATTCGTAAGAGGGCTATTTTACTGGTTTTCTTCCTCGACATACCTGAAACGTGACCTACGCGTACCTGTCTTCATCGAGACAAGTCATGCCTGATTTCTTTCAGACAAGTCTGGCGTTTTTTCTTGTTTGCTGTTGGGTAGGAACGGACGAGTTGTTAGTTGGAATTAGTTGTTAGTTGTTCCGTGTTCGAGTCGATAGCTCGCCTGCTTATGTGTTTCCATTAATTCTTGTTTTCATTTTTTTTAGAAGTGAAAGAAAACGTGACAGCATTAGGGAACGAGCAAATTTGATGCAAACGTCAGTCGAGATTTTTCTAAAAAACCTAAATAAGTATGCTCGTTTCAAGACAAAAGATTAAATAAAAATTTACCTATATTTTCTTACGATACTTTTCAAAATCTTGAAAATCATATGAATAATGCCACTGGAATCCGAGCTCAATCAATTATTTGATGAATCAATCGCTTTAAAAAATTATGTTAGAAACACATTGAAAATATAAACAAGGGATAATGTTAACTAAAAAAATTAGTGATCAATGAGAAAAGATAATTGTAGCTATAAATTTGTTATAATTATGCTTATTTTGTCAGTATTGCGTTATGGGAAATTAAGATTAATATTATATAATAGTTATATCATTTGTGATTTTATGCTTCTCTGCAATTTTTTCTATTTATTATTAAATTAGCTGTAATAACGTTGAATAGTCATTTAGCAATGTATTTTTGAATGAAAAGAGCATCTTCTTTCACTTGGATCCCCCATAAATGAGAAATGTGGTGCGCTTAAACAAAGAACAAAGCCCGCAAACTTCCTTACAAGCAAAATGGCAAAGAGCTTCAGAGAATCTAGTACACGCGGTCGACTCATCCATTTGCGCGTCTTTTGTCGCGAAGTTCTAAAAGTGTTGTAAAAAACCATGCTCGAACGCTACATTGAGATTAACGCGTCAATCTCGATGATCGACGTTGAACGATGATTTGCCTCAACTTGGAAGCACGTAAAACTTTTATCACAGAGCTGTTGGTCATATCTCCGATTACTGTGATAATTAATGTCAACCGGATGCAAGCTTGGAAAAGTTCGCGACTCAGTGCAGCGCCAAAAAAACGTAGTTTTTCAATGAAGACGTTGAGCTTCAAATATACTCCAGGGTAAATTGAAATATAAAACGAAACGAAGGATGATGACGTTGATGCATAAACGCGCAGGCTTGATACGGAATGAAAAATGAAAAGGGTTTCAGTCAACCTGTGAACACGCATATCGCTATCTAATCTTCGGCGTCATAGAAACATTGAAGAGTTAATCGATAACTTCTTTGACGTTAGCGCGCGTATTTTTAGAGAAATTTGACCTGCTTAGCGCTTCGGAAATTCGAAAATTTGACCGCAAAGCCTGTCACGTACAGAGCAACCAAAGTATAACATGTTTGAACCGCATCAAGTACGAAAACATTCTTGTAGATTCCCATTCGCTACCCAATTGACGAAATGTACCTGCGAATCCCGAGTGACGACACACCGATCTAAACGCGAGTACGTACTAATGGCACCCGAAAAATCTTTGTGCACGCACGACTAATGGGCAGCATCGTCCTAAAATGCGTTTTGGAGAAAATATCCAGCATTTCATCGTACATTAAAAAGGAATTGTATCTTATTATTCCCTTGTTGCTATTGCTTATTCGTGCATGCAGCCTCCTCGATCATCGCGAAACAAAGCTCAATTTCCTTTTCCCTTAATCTACATACATTTATTTTCGCGCGCGCGCGCCTGTATGGCCTATACTTCCATCCTGCAGGAGGGGAATAAAATGTGTAGCTATATTATATTTAATATTCCGGTTTTTATATTTTATATCATCCTGTGTAGCTGTTTTTTGGTCGGATATTCGTACCATTTCATTTTTTTCACGTTGAGTCATTACATCTCCTAGGAAACAAAAAATTGTGCTAATCGAGCGTCAGCGGATGCCGTCCTCCGATAACCAACAAAAACCTATCCCTGATTTTTCCTTTTCCTCTCAATCGAGCATTCCTTTCAGCGCATCTAATTTCGTTGCGTGACTCGATAGTAAAGGCCTCGACGATGAAGTGTTCTTCCTTACGAGTCGAGAAATCAATACTCCGTCATCCGGGATTCATCTTTTTTATTAAAGCTATCTTATATTTATGCAGCCTAAAAAGCAGCATTTTGAGGAGATCGTCGTTGACGAACAAGGGAAAACAAGACTTTCGCGATGAAGGCGATGAGAAATCGTCGGCCTCGGCAAGCTGAAAATCGCGTACTCGCAAAGTGGAGCGATGAAGCGCCCGGATCCATCTATTCCCGCGAAGCGTGGCAGCATCGACGCGTGTATCTATCGCGTGTGACGCATTAGCTAACCCCAGGGTGCACATCAGCGACTAATAGCGAGCGACATGGGGGCCGGGGGGGGGGGGGGTATGGTCCAGCAATTCTGACGCATTTTCACGATGACGATCGATATACCGCGCACATGCGAACGGCGAAGGAGCAGTTCGGCTGGCTGGCCGTGCACGGGGCGCACGGTCGCGCGTGTATGCGCAAGGAAAGCCCCGACACACCTGGGTGATCCTGGACGAAGTGAAACGCGCGTACGTACGGGCGGCTCTGGAAAATGTGAGCTTGCGCGCGCGCACGCGCGCCTTCGGAGCAGCCTAGGCAGTCGGAGTGAGCGCCGTCGGCGTGCAGCGCGCCCAGTCGCAGCTTTGTTTTCCTTAAGGCTCGTGGGGCCGCGGTTGCGATCGTCTCTCGCGTCGGTCCTTCGCAAGCCGCAATGACGAGTTCACTTCGTGCGACCTTTGCTGTGGCTTGGCGCTGGCGAAGCAACATGTGAACGCTGCACCCGCATTTCTCGACCTGCGCTCGAGGCGTCCTCTCCTATTTTCTTTTTTTGCTTCGCCAGGTATGTTCACGATCGCGAGCGCACGAGAGCTCTCCTTCGCGCGGCCGACTGACTTTGTCGTTGCGAGCTCGTGTCTCGCGCGACGCGTTGATTTCTCATCGCCTTGATCGCGCCGACGGACGCGCGTAGGCTCGTCGATCGATAATGGGTTGTGCGCATTTCTCAGCGATATTTTCCTCATTCCGTCGCGCTCGATCAATGATCCCAGCTAATAATGCGAGCGCCGTGCGCGAGTGTAACTTTCTGCGTGGCTATTGCGCCGGCTATTGTCGAATATCCTACGCGCTGAATAATTCGATAGGTGGGCTGCTGAATTGATGGAATTGAATGCCACGCGAAAGAGGGAAAACGAGCTCCACGTACGCTCACGCTTTATTATTCAATTTGCCCTTTGTTATTCAATTGTTCGCAGCGCGTTTGCAGCTTAACATATTCACGACTCGAGCGATGAGGGTCAATAATAAATAAAAATAACCGATCGAAAGAGGGTGAGCTGCTCGACTGGTACGAAAATAAATCAGTGCACGTAAAGAGAGGGAGAGAGAGGGAGAGACGCGAGAGTATTCATGCAAAATGATAAATTTTTCTTCTCTTTTTTTTGCGCAAACGGATGGTTATTTTAAATTCGGCGTTGTTGCATATTGAATAGTTATAGTTAGAGTCGTAAGTCAAAGTTTCGGGGAGATGAGGTGGGTCGTAAGGAGCTCGGGGAATTAGTTTCCGATTATTCTCGCGCACTCGCCAAAGCAATGTTCCCAATATACTTGGGTTACGCTTGACATCGAAAAAGTGCGCGCGATTTATTCCGTTGAGTCGCGTTTAAAATACGTTGATGTCGCGGCAATATCAGCCGTACGCTATTTCGCTGGGTGATACAGGGAAAACTAATGGTTGCGTGTACAATGGATGTTGAATTTGGCTTTGTCGATTTAGAAAAATGAAATATGATCGTCTAATAGTTACGAAGGAAATTCGGCACTCTTCGATTATCGGCTAACTCAAATATTTCGCGCCCGCGCTCGTAAAGGCAATGCCATGACCCGATTGATCATCTCGCTTAATAGTGCGAATCAAGACAATCGTAAAAACGACTGCTACGAAACGATGGACGTCTCACCGAGCGACGTGTCCTCGAGGACCAAGCGTACAAGTTTCGCATGGAAGGTGGACGGCCAGCTATTCTCATCTCTCGAGGAGTTGCACGAGAAGCTAGCTGAGCTTTTAGGTACAATAATTCATTGCCCACTTTGCGCCTTTGATGTTTCTTTATACGATTGGCATTAGCAGTTTTTTTTTTCTTGCCTTTCTGTCCTCGTCATACTACGCCTCTGCATGTGCGTGCGTACGGGGAGGCGTTTTATTGGAATTGAGATTCACAATTGATGTAACTGTCGGACGGCCATTGTCATAGAATTACATAATCGCTGTATGAGCGTATACGTGTGCACGTGCGTGGCCAAAGCAATTGATCAGAGCTTTGAAATTTTCAATTGTTTTTTGAATTACAATTTCAATGAATATAGAGTTAGTTATTTCACTTAAAAGCACCACCGTGCGAAATAATAAGCAATAACACTGCTAATGACCAATGCGTACTCTCTAAATTCTATTTTGGAGTAAATCGACACGGTAAAGCAGAATCCACTGTGCTCGAGCGAATTACAATGCTTGCAAGTTTACGCATTGTGATTACGAATGTTGCTACGAGGAGATCTCGCGAGAGAAGCGTCTACTGCACGTCGTTCCGGCGAAACTTTAATTCTTTCTTGAGTTTAGTCACTGCAGCCCAAACTTCCAAGTGAACTCGCGCGGCAAATTTGAACTTTGCAAACTTAGGTCCACTGGTTAGCTTACTGACGCTGCGCTTCTACATATTCAACTTTGATTATTTCCTTATGGGCTTCTTGGACTATTACTACATTACTCGAGCGTGGCATTACAATTTATTGTTTCGAATATCGTTGTGAATACCATTCATTTGGTTAACTTTTATAAATGATTTTATAACATTTTTAAACGTATAGATATTTTTTTCGAAATTGTTACAACTTATTTTATTTTTTTCGTTATCTCAAAATCAAACTTGTGACATTAAAATTATAGGTGGTATTAGATTTTATCGTTTGGTACAACAAGAATTGATCTCCACGACTTTGATCGGAAACCAATACGTATCGGTATGATATCCCAATTATTAGCGCAATTTTTAGCGGTACTCTCAAGTCATACCACCGCTTTCAATAGATCTGCACGTAAACGGTACAAATTGAATTTTAAAATAAAACATCTAGTCTGAAATTCAAATTGTAGGCAGCTTATAGGAGCCGTTCAATGTATAACAGTTCATCTTATCGAAATTATAGCTGTTATTCCATAAAATTTAGAGAGTTGATTTTTAGATGTAGAAGTAGTTTACGACGTTGCAATGATTCGCTCCATTTTTTTTGTTATCACGCACAAGGGGAAACATCAGTTAAAATAACGAAAGCTGCAATTTTGGGTAAGTTAATTATTATTTCACAGCCTGTATATGAAACTTTATGTTGAACAAGTACCGATACGTTTACGCAAGAGTCGTATCAGAAATGAAAATAATATATGGCTTTCTTACCTATTGAAGAGGTAAGAATTTCAAATAGTTTAATTTCGTGTTGTTTAATTTTATGTCGTATTCTCCAATCATTACGAGTTTCAGACTTCATCGCAAAAATTTGAATAGTGTTTTTACATAGCACGCATCATACATTCATCACTGAGTTTGGTCAATAAAATCAATACTTTTTCACGAGCTTTATATTCTTATTTGATAAGTAGCATAAGACTTGAACAACACAACGCAACTGTGTCTAGAACGACGAGTCTTCTTGATAGTGTTCCATTCACAAAATGAATTGGCTCCGACATTTTCATCACGTCATAACGACATAACAGGACGTAACCCAGTAATAACTTATCGCAGAAATCATTTGGACATGCGACCAAGTCGACGATAAGGACAATCTCGGCAGCGAGATGTCATCTGTTTCTTTATTTTTTATCTGTAATTTAATGCTCATGCAGCCAGCTATAGTATCTGAATGCGGGCGTGAGGTGACTCGAGTGCAACGCAAAAGGACAACGCTTTTAGTTTCGCTACATGCCACTACCGTGCGCAGTGTCCCGCTACGAGAGGAAGTGGCTTTAAAATTGAAAGCGCGCTCGCGGCAAACTAATCAAAGTTCTTTTTCGCCCTGCGCGCGCGTGCATGCTCTCGACATATCTCCGCTGATTGAAATTCATGCCCGGCGCGCAAGCCGCTTTCGCGGCGAAAGCTCCGGTTTCCAAAATCAAACGCTCAAAGCTAATCATCATCCTCACTGTTCCCGAAAAGGGGATCTGGCCTTGAAGCGAGCGAGCTCGAAAGATTACCGAATTACGCGGCCCGGAAGCGGCGTATCACGTGAAAATCCAATGGGAAACGCCGAGCGACTTTACAATATCTACGCTCCTCGCTCTCTCTGAGGGTCAAGCGAATATAATTCAAGCTCGACAGAGGAAGGAAGCGCATCGGGCTGCTCGCTTCGAGGGCCGTATAGCCACTTGTTATCGCGTTTCGCAGCATTGCACTTGGCAGCGCGCAGCCTGGATCCCCCCCCCCCCCCCCCCCCCCAGATCCAAATTTCAAGTTCCGGCCATTCTTCGGTTCTCTCAACTATATAAGCTTATTCCATTATGCATGGTCTATTTAAGAATCATTGTCCGACGGTTTATTTCCAATTCACCGTAAACTTCGTCACGGATGCACGTGATTCTACGTTGAATGAGTATACTCGTAGGTTCGAGGTGAAAATTGAATCCAACTACCAATTATACACTAGGTCATACAGTGTTTTTACAACTCATTAAAACCCTCTGGACTCGCGTAATCATCGCGACTCGTTAAAATATGGTCATTATGAATAGGCAGTTCGTGACGGAGCTCCCACCTCAAACGTCGTATACACTTTATAACATAAGTATGATTCTGTTGGCACTATCGAGATTTGAATCAATTTTTTCCTAGTATCATACGCAAGAAAAGAAAATTAAGGTCAAATAAACTCAAAGTGTGGTAAATGAGTCGGCATTGCCGTATCTGGCCAATTAGCAAAATTAAGAGCAGTGCGATATTTGTCGTGATCTCAATACATATCGTTAAATTTGCTCTTTGTGAATCCCTTAAATAGTGAATTTCACACTAACCAATGTTAATTTACACCTATATATATTTTAATTCATCGGCATTTAATTGGAGCGTTAAAATAATTAGCTATTTACCGAAAAAGGATCCTCGGAATCAATCTGCCCTCGTTATCCGGCGCCACATAAAAGTGGCATATTCTAAATAAGTCAAAATGATATGAAGGATCGTACATCTAAATTTCAAATATTTGTTTCCCAACATGATATAATCTCACGTGGGCTCCGTTTTGATGTATTGTTTATTTCGACCTGCAATAGTATCCGGACTCCGATATCTTCCATCTCAAAACAAATGTGTATTCCAATTAAGAAGAAAGTACTTGAGGCTTCGCCGTAAATAACATCGGTGCAAGAGAACTCCGAAAAAATACAGGACCATAACGACAGATGCAGAAGCACGTTCCAACAGACTTGTATAGAAACATACAGCGTAACTTGGGACAAAAATGCGATCGCGCACGGCCAAGTCTAAGGCAGCAGGCAGCACGTGTACGAAAACACGTTCACGGTCAATAATCATCTTTTGTGCAAGCGGCAGTGGCACAGCCTCCCTCTAGGCTCTCTATAGTACAGATGCATCAACACATGTGTATGAGTATATATCTATATATATATATGTATACACACACAGCAGCACGCGCGAACGCACGCACACGATTACACACACACACAATAGCGTTTCTCCCGCGCTGTTCATTCGCAGAAAATGTGTGCATCGCCGTTGGCGCCGCCACTAGCGGGTAATACTGCCGCCCGCCGCCGCCACCGCGCATCGTCGTTCGCCGGTGTACGTTGTTCGTTTGCTCGTTCGTGTGTGCTGCCTGCCAGGCTAAAATGGCGATGCCCGTAGTGGTGCGTGCAGGCCATCGTCGCCACTAACTCCATTCGTGAGCAGCGCCCCTTCTTTTTCGACGCTACGAAATTCTGGACTCTGGCTTGCTTATCTACCCGTCGATCGCAATCCAGAGAGAAAAAGCAGCAAGTACTAATCAAAGTTTTATTCATCGCGCTCGCAAACTACAAGGGGGAAGAGAATAAGAGAATTGACTCGTAAAATCCGATTTTTCGATGACGCTGACGTCACGTACGCGCGACTAGTAGAAAAGAGAGTATAGTAGTAGCTTGCTAACGAAAAATCTTGGACGCTACGCGGAAAGTCGCAAAGTGGTGTGTTTTGGCGCAGCGACGCCAATCGCCTATTTGTGTGCGTGTGATTTGCATGTCGTGTGTACATTTTCGTGCATGTGTGTGTAAGTAAGAAAGAGAGTAGAGAACGGCTGCAAGAGACGAGCCCGAAAAATATCGCGCAAGAGTTTTTCTTTTCGTACGTATATGGTTATACAAGTTACGCGCGTGATACACATACAGTCGCAAAGACAAGTAATACAGCGTGCCGCCGGTGTCCGTTAAAGGACTATCCTACTTCCTTCGAATCGTATTCAAGGACACAAAGGACTGTGTCACCTTCCTCAGGACGCAACGTGCGGGAGTAGTCGGTGGTTAGGTATACACCTACACTTACCCAAACGTATATCTATATCCACACGCGCGCTTATACACACATACACACACACATAGAAATAGAGTGAGTGAGCTCTTCATCTCTTTTTTTTGAGGCTGTTCTGCTAATTGCAAAACTAAGCTTGCTCTTGTCTACAAAGTGTCTAGTTGATTGAACCAAGTATAAAGCTGTGGTACAAGGAGCTTCGACCACTGCATCAAACAGCTGAGAGAGATAGTTAAGGTGCAGATGCAAGCTGCTCGATCTTAACTGAATAAAGCATCATGGACTGCGGCGAAGCCTCAAGTACGACCTTTTGTTATCCTATTGGTTTTTTTCTTTATCTGCCAATTAGTTTTACTACAACTCAGCTAATTGATACCCATGATCTGCAGAGTACTATTCCACAGTGTACTCTGGTACCTAGCTAATCATTTTAACCCAAAACTTTGTAAAAATCCAGAACATGCGATTGCTAATGTTATTTCAGGAATATCTTATTAGCTTGATAGTTGGTAAAAATAAATTCATTTTTTGTAAAGCTCATAATAACCATATTTTACATCTATGTTATAAATTAAAAACATAAGATTTTATATTGAAAACATAATTTTAAATAGTTTAATTGTGACTAGCTGTGGGACAATTGAATCACTCTAACTGATAAAACATGCTTATTATTCATTTTGGTTTTATAACTATAATTTTTAATATAGGATAGAATAAAAGTTTATATCATTTCTCTAAATATTATATACTATTTTCTGAGTTTTAGTAGATTTTTTATAAACCAGAAATCATTGTGAGATAAGTGTAAACGTTAAAACTTGATAAATATTTTATAAATTTTCATTAGTTTTAGGACTAAAATTAAGTTGCCTATGGTTATTTTTAAATTATTAACCTGCACATTTCGTACCAAGATATGATTGTCTTTGCATAAATATAATACAATTCATGCTGATTTGACAATTTATAATTTTTCTTGTACTACAGGTAATGGGGAGATCCAATGGAGTTTCTCACAGGTGAAGGGAACTTTAGAAGATGATGTCACAGAAGGTAAATGTGTTTACTTGTATTAGACAAAGTATTTTATATTATCTATGATGTTCTTTTTAGAAATGTTTATAGTAGTTTCTTGAAAAGCTAATTTTATCATTATCACTAATAACTTGTAAATTTTTACCGAACATCCATTTCAAAAGATTAGTAGTAGAGGAGTCACAAAAAGTTGATTAATTATATAAATATTTCATATTTAGCTGACATTATCTCTTGTGTGGAATTCAACCATGATGGTGATCTCTTGGCAACTGGTGACAAAGGTGGTCGTGTAGTCATATTCCAAAGGGATCCCATTGTAAGTTAATAAATATTAATATTTTAATTGCTATTATCTAATATAATTTTCTAACACTATATTGGTATTAATAAAATTCAATTAATAAAATTCTTCCATTTGTAATATAAGATGCCCTTGTAAAAACTACTTTGACATTTGTCATGTTTATATCATTAAAACATTGGATAGTAGCCAACTCTCTTGTTCGTCCAATTGTTTTCTCTATCTTTAGTCTGTTTAAATGAAGAATATCATTATAGTACCAGCATGTTCTAGCAGAAAAAATTTTCACCAAAAAAATGTTTAATCATACCAAAGACAATCATTCAAATGTTTCTATTTATTTTTTAGAGTAAATCAATTATTCCAAAACGAGGGGAATACAATGTATACAGTACCTTCCAGAGTCATGAGCCTGAGTTTGATTATCTGAAATCACTAGAAATTGAGGAGAAAATCAATAAAATAAGATGGCTCAAGAGGAAAAATCCTGCCCACTTTTTACTCTCAACAAATGACAAAACAATCAAACTATGGAAAGTTAGTGAACGAGACAAGCGAGTTGAAGGATACAATACCAAGGAAGAAAATGGTTCCATCCGCGATCCCGCTTGTATCACTGCCTTGAGGGTATGTAACGCGTTAAAATATATTCAACGGGATAATTAATCTAAGGTAGAGCTTATAATAACATCCGTTAATTTTTTGTAGGTACCCACTATAAAGCCCATGGAACTGATGGTTGAGGCTTCACCAAGAAGAATATTTGCTAATGCGCACACTTATCATATAAACAGTATAAGTGTCAATAGTGACCAGGAGACGTATCTCAGTGCAGATGACCTTAGGATCAATTTGTGGCACCTTGAGATCACGGATCAAAGTTTTAATATTGTAGATATTAAGCCGACTAACATGGAAGAGCTGACCGAGGTCATAACGGCGGCCGAGTTTCATCCAGTCGAGTGTAACTTGCTGGTCTACAGCAGTAGCAAGGGAACGATTCGCTTGTGTGACATGAGATCCGCAGCTCTTTGCGACCGGCACAGCAAGCTCTTCGAGGAGCCCGAGGATCCTACTAATCGAAGCTTCTTCTCGGAAATCATCTCCAGCATAAGTGACGTCAAGCTCAGCAACTCTGGTAGATATATGATTAGCAGAGACTACCTCAGTGTTAAGGTGTGGGATTTGCACATGGAGACGAAACCAATTGAGAGCTATCCTGTGAGTAAATGTATTTTCAACATCTGCAGCTCTGGTAGGTTGGCAAATATAATAATGATATTTTTTCTTAGGTACACGAGTATTTGCGATCAAAGTTGTGTTCGTTGTACGAAAATGACTGTATCTTCGATAAGTTCGAATGCTGCTGGAACGGCAACGACTCGGCCATAATGACAGGTTCATATAACAATTTCTTCCGCGTTTTCGATCGCTCAACCAAACGAGACGTAACACTCGAAGCGTCACGTGACGTCGCTAAGCCAAAAACTCTTCTAAAACCCCGCAAGGTACGTCAAAATTATTGGCATTAAATATTTTGCCGGGATCTGTTTTTTTATGTCGTCTACAAGACGTTTGCTTAGCAATTAAGCAATGTCTTATGATCGTTTGTGTCGTTGAAACTCTTCTTCATTAATCCTAGGTGTGTACCGGTGGTAAACGTAAGAAGGATGAGATTAGTGTGGACTGTTTGGACTTTAATAAGAAGATTTTACATACCGCATGGCATCCTACCGAAAACATCGTTGCGGTTGCGGCCACAAATAACCTTTTTCTGTTTCAAGATAAGCTCTAGCACATTTACATGCAGGTTTGTACACCTATTCTTTAATAAAAAACAAAAGACTAGTAAAAACGAACTAAATAGAACTAGTTGATTTTAGATAAATATCTATTATCTGTTAATCTACATCTTCAGAAATAATAGATACTATAATTGCTTTTATTTTGTACATCATTATCAACAATCACTGTAGTTTTTCACACAACCTTGACTGTTGTTAATTTTTATTTATTTCAGATATTTAATAATTTTATAAACATCCAAAACTGTTTTATAACATTATTTTTTCTTAACTTTAAACCAACAAATTCAATATTTTTATTGTCTTTATTACATAGATTATACAACGTTATATACTGACATAAGCGTGGCGCATAAAGAATACAACAGAAGGAGTTGGCAATAAGTAGGATACACGACGAGTAGTAGAGTATGGACGAGCATCAGCTTCGAGACATTTCTGCGACTGTTGATTGACCCAAGTGAACAACTACTGGAGAGTGAGAAAATGTGCACTGATAAACAAACACCGTATTACTGAGAAGTGAAAATATAAAAAAAAAAAACAAAAACATGCGCCATTGTCCAAACAGGAGGATCAAATTCTCGCCACCAAAAGTGAGCGTCGAAATATCAGATTAATGTTTGTAAACACGATCTTTACGTCCATAATCAATCATTATTGTAGGAGACACGCTTATCATTAATAACCGTGTATCAATATAACAGAATCGATGAAGCGCATTATTCTATTCTTAACAATCTAACATATATTGCACTGTATATATTGCAAGAAGAAGTACGAAACTGACTTTTCTCAGGGCATCGAGCATTCGCGGATATTCAATTTCAAACAAATTCGGTGTGCGGAAATTAAACTGAAGTTTGAAACAACATTCGCGAATCGAATAGTTTAGAGAAAAAAATGTAAAATCAGATTATCTACTGTCGTCGAACGAATCCAGTATTTCTAACGACTATCTACTCATCCAGCAAGTATGCGTTTATGATGCTTTTCTGAGTGTTGATTATAAGTGTATGAGTGGCAAAGTGATTTGGCAATGAAAATTGCTTGATACTCTTACGTACGTTTCGATCATTGGTAAAGTGAAAATTATTTAATATTTAAATTTATTCAATGAATTGTGGTGACTGTGAATGATTGTAAGATTTGTCTATCGTACGTTTGCAATGGCGTTAGAGAAGCATTTGATAATGGACGTAGAGTATCAACACATTATTTTCGATACTGAAACTAACGGAGGCAGATACGCAAAGCATTTAAGGCCAAGTACCTTTAACAATATTGTTATTGATTTTCTAAATAGGCTTCATCAAATTTTTTTAATAGTTGAAAAGAAACGACAACAGAAACAGAAATAATCATTATAATATGTGATGAAATTAGGTTAAAAAAATACTTTTCATATTTGTTTTGTTTTATTTTTGCATCCCCTGTCTACCTTCTGTATCAGAAATCAATGGCAAATTATTATTGATGTTATTAAGTGATAGTTGATATATTGATTATTTTTCATATATGGCTGCATTTGAGCTCAAAAAATTACTCACCATAAGAAATAATTTATTGATTACTATACTCATTACTCGTGATTGGTAACTAATGGGAAAAGAATACAAATTTAGTTTGTCAATAACTTCCTATCCGCGATTTTTTTCAGAACTATACCACATGAATCTATTTTTCAGTAACGGAAATTGCAATTCTATAATATTGTGAATAATTATGAATAGTTTCCAATGGCCTACAGTCAATAATTTTCATTTAGTAATCAGCCAATAATTCAAGCTTTCGTAGTCAAAATGAAATGCTGTACATTTGCAATTGAAAACCATTCTCTAAAAATATAGAAACTAGATCGTAAAACAGCTGGAATCAAAGTAATTTTAATAAAAAATTTGATCAGCCATAGTTGTTTTTACAGTAAACGGTTGATATAGATAGATTGTACATAAATAAAAATGTAAAGCTATGTAACACAAATTTTGATTCATGAATATATTTTGTTTTGTACTGTATAGTCGCGTAATAAAGAAAAAGAAACAAGTTCTAAAAAGTTACGCTCCATACCAAAAGCTTGATTTTTGATCAAAACAATAAATTGTATAATAAAATAAAAGTGTACATAGCAGTGAAAATTTTTTAACTGAGAGAAGAAAAAGATATAGGCAAACTGCGTTAGTTTGTAAATTTTCTCCTATTCATGCAGTTTGCTTCGATCGTACTGACGATGTATCTTTCGTTAAAAATCGTATTGTCATAAATGGATCGCTAATTAAAATAGATAAGTATCTACGCGATATTACTATTTTGTCTGATTTAACATAATTCGCTAGATCATTTGAAAAGAAAAGGCATTCACAAAATTTTCATTTTAGCCATTGAAGTTGTAACGTCCTGTACTCAATGTGCCATTATGGAAGACTATTGTTGATCAGTCTGAGATTGTTAATAAATATGGATACAAAAATTAAAATGTAAAAAAAATATTGAAACCATTAAATTTTTTTTCACATTGAATAAGATGAGAGCTATGATTTAATGAACTAATGTATATTTTTGCATTAGCCATTAGTGATACCTTAGCAGTATAATTTATTTTCGAGATCCGTTATCGCTAAATAACATTGAGAATATACATATAGTAACTCGACTACTGTAGTATTTAAGATTTCTCTACTAAATATTCTATGGCAAAAAAGGTGTTAATATAAAATAAAAGTTAGCATTTTTAGTTAGACATGATTTACGTGAAATAAGTTTACTTGGCCAAGTTAGCCTTATTAATAAGCAATGGCTAATTAAATGAAGAAAATTAATTATTTCTGAAATTCGAAGGAATATAAAAATGGCAGTATATTTTTTGCAATATATTCTGCGAATATCATTTGTTTTCATCATTATATCATGGTTTACTTTTCAATTCGATTATAAATACTTAAATCACTTTATAAGAGAAAAAATATTTTGGTGTGTACCCAGGTATTTTTTTATTTTAATAAAGTCACGTCTTCAATTATTTTTTAAGCTTCAATTTGGCAAGTAAAATTGATGTAATAACATTTCTTATGATTAAAAAATTGAACAATTTTTATTTTGGAAACATTTCAAGTTCTATACTGTTTTAATGTTAATTATTTTAAATACCGAAACAAATTAAGTTTGAGTAATTGTAGATCATTCAATATGAAAAAAGTAGAGGATGCATAGAGGATAGAATATATCACAAGTTTACTTTGATAATTAAAAAATACATAAAATTAAAAAAATTAAATATGTTTTCAATGTTGCAAATCAATAATTTGATATATTAATTATGTTTTCAGACGTATCGACTATTCAATAAACTATTAGAAAAGATGTTTGGCAAAGGTTTAATTTTAATTACACCAAATACGTACTAAGCGTAAGCAGCGTATACATTTTCGAGTCTGTCCTCTTCCGTCTTCGTTTGGAAAAAAAAAACAATAAATGAATCGATTATTTGATAGAACAAAACTAATTTTTGAGTCTTTTTGTAGAGTAAGCGGTTTTTGTATTTTGTACATCAAGAGTGAGCGAAGTATTTGCAAGCAAAAAGAAAAACTAAAGAGGAGATAAAAAAACAACGTTCGTAATAGTGTTTTGGCTCGCACAGGACCTGTTTTTATTGTGATAAAACAATATAATTGAATCGCGTCGCGATATAGCGCGCGTATTTTGAACCCGAGTTGTGTATTTTTGTTAAAATTAGAGAGAAAAGAACGAATATAGATATACACGCGAAGCTGATGGCGCCTTATGAATGAATTGTGAAAAGTGGAATTACTAATACATACTGAATAGAAATCTAAAAATATGATCTTCCGATCTGTACGGCACACACGCAGACACACACTAATAGAAGAGAGGTGATGGAAAGTATTTATAGAAAATAAGAAAATGGAATGTTTATAGACATTATAAATACAACATTCACATATTAAATAAATAATTAAGCATGTTACTAATACATCTAATGCCATAAAAAAATGGAAGAAAATAAATGAGAGAAGATTATAAAATGAAAAGAAATTAAAATATGCAGTAGAACGATTCTGAGCGAGTGAAAATGACAAATGGGAGTGCATGAAAGTTTTGGGAGAGTGTGTGAGTTAAATTTTAAATGCGGGTAAAATAAATGCTATATGTGCGTCTATTCGTGCGGCATTTATTAGATGTCCCGATAATGCTTAAGCGGAAAAGTATATAGTATGAAATTTGAATATACGGAGACAAAAATAATATCAATAAATCTTTGTAAAAAAAATGGTTATTCTGTTTCTCTATCCTTCGCCAGAAAATTCAATTTTGCATCCATTGTATAAATAAATATTCAAATATAAAAAATCATTGGTAGCAATATTTCTATTCAAATATTGATTATTTATTATTTAGATTTGTTATTGACTATATATCAGCTCTTTTCATGTTCACCGTAATTCAACATGTAATTGAATAAATAAATAAGCCACGAGTTGAGAGAAATCAAATTTATGCAAGCAAAGAGGGAGCGACCAAGAGCAAGACGGACAAGGACATGACCGTTTTCGAGTTGGTTAACAATTTAATTAGCAGCAAACAAATCCTCGCACTTGTGTACGCGAGTACTGCGCTGCGTGCTGACGGAAGTGCTGTCATCTTTAACAGTCCGAGCTGCGTTATTAATCGGCACATACCAAGCAAATTTGTTTGACAGTTTTTCCATTACAATAAATGTGGCAAGTTCTGTAAACTCAAAATTCATACACTATTTAAAGTTAAAGATATTACCTCTCCATTATAGATATATTCGAAAAAAAATATTACTCTTGAAAAGTGGAAAAAATATGTTTCTTCGATTTTATTTATTAAAATATTATATGCTGATATATAATTCCAATGTAATTGTGCAATAATTGTCTACATCATCAGAAAGTTTAATGCGAAGTTTATTATACAACATTGATGTTTCAGTGCGCATTTGCTCACGGTAATAAACTTGTGCATATTATTTAAAATTACTATTACAAATTGTATATTCAACACCATTTTTAAATAACTATTAGTATCAATTTGGTATCTTGTCGAAATAGTTTTTAATTATATTTGAAAGTACTGAATCTATCTAAAAATGGCACGGATGCTACAAATTATACTTTGAGATACTTTACATATCCTTATTAAATAGTAAGTTTATTCTACAGAAAATTAAATGTCCAGTCATTATATTATATCTATTGATATTTTCTTTAATTAATTAAAAATGATAATAATGACATCAATGTTATAAATAATTTATTTATATAAATTTTAGGTAACTTTCATCCTTGCAGGGTATCTAACCTGATTATTGTGTGTGTGCATCTAAATTTATCATTTGATTAGAACATTATATATAATTATTTCTTGCCGACTAATTTTTACTTTTCTTTAAAAATTTTAACTTTTTAGGGCTTGATGATAAATATACCCTACATTTTCTTAGTAAATTATTTTCTGTATCTGTAAGCAACTTCGATAAATGTATCCTCTTAAAAACTTAAATTATATGTTTCTAGTTCGAACTTGATACTATTAGAGGAGAGATCCGACAAAAATGACAGTTCTCTAAATTTTATGTAAATAAATTATTTATAACATTGTGCTATTATATACAACAGTGCTATTCAAATCAATGTTCTTGTTTTAGCAGGGTATATCTCATCAATAACTGTTGCGGGAGTATTGATTGTAGATATTTCAGAAAGTATTATATTTAAAAAAAAAGTATAACAATAAAAGTTGTTTAAAAAAAAAATACACAACTTTTGTTTAAAACTTTAAAAGAAAAATAAATATTTTCAAAAGACATGTTTTTGCAATAACATTATTTATAGCAAATAGCAAGAGTGAGAAATTTGTAATTTTAACAATTTTTTATTTCCCACAACGTCTCTCGTAGAATCGATTACAAAAGACCACAACCTTCTATTTCGTCAGGATGGGGTCGAACATTTGCGTTACTCAACCATCGCTCCTGCAGTTGTATATGTTTTGGATTGGGTTGGATACACACACACACACACACATACACAAATTGATACAGATCTGTATACAGAAAAACAAAATATATATATGTCAAATCATTATATATAAAGTAATTACAGAAACTGTGATTATAAAAATATTTATAGTGTGAGTTAAACATCAAGTTAATTATATATTATAAAAGTATTTATGTATTCATAAAGTCGAGACAAAATCTTATAAATTTTTATAAATTTCAAAGCCGCATCTCAATTAATTGTATTGCCCAAGTACTAATTCAAAAAAGGGAGCTTACGTTTATTTACTTTCAATTTAATTGTAATTATTCGATTTTTTTTCTATTTGAATTTTGTTACACCCACGTATCAGAAGGTTTGTTTTATTATATATCTCCTTGCGCGTTATCTACAAAATCAAAGGCCGCGGCTATACTCTAAGAGAATGTCGACACGGGATTCCTCTTCCTGACCCCGGGGCCGTCCCCGTCCGAGAATTGCACACGCCCTCTCTATAACTTCAGTGGTAAGTTTTATAATGAATGTGAGATACGCATCTTAATTTATGAATTCAAAATTATAGAGATCGAGTTCGTCTACAAAAACTCGGACGGTGACGGCCCCGGGGTCGGGAAGGAAGAGGGATTCCGTGTGGACACTCCCTAAGTCGGTAGAGAGCAGAGATTAGGAGGGTCGGAAGACGAATGTCTACTTTTTACTGGTGATGTCTTGAGCGTGTGCCGCTGTGCGCGCCACCCAGGACGGTGAGAGTGTGTGTACATGTGGGTGAAACCCATTGTAATTGCCATTAGGCTCCCTCCAGATAAGATCCGAGGGTCAGAAAACCGCGCGGTATTTTGCCACAGTCCAATTCTGTACTAACAATAGTTAAAAGCAATCTGGCAGTAGCGTTGTGATATGTCTGGGTCGGAACATGTAAACACAGTTGATTAGAAAAAAGAATTATATACAAAGTAATTATTCATAATTATGCCAATATTTCTGCCAATTAATTGAAAATTTTTATTTTTTAATGTTACCGAGGTGGGATTTAATTTACCAGTCTTCCGAAACTAAAAAATTCAAAATTTTTATCGCGCAAGCGCAGTTTTACTTCAATTTCGATTACGAGTTAAAAATGAATCGAGCTACGATCAATCGGTGGCTCAAATAATCGACTCGATAATCGATTATTTACGAAAATAATTGAGCGATTATTATATATCGATTAAAATCCCCCGTCAGTACACGTGACTATAATAATAAATACGATTCATTGAATCCTACGAATGTAAAGTCACAATGAGCAACACAAGTACGAATATTAGGAGACATTTGATACGATTATCTTATATAGGTACCAATTACAGAGGTTCGCAAAAACATGCTACTTTTAATATACACGATGTCGATTCTATACAAGGAGCTACAGAAGCCTCAATGTATCATTTGAAAAAACTCTGTCTCACCAAACCAAGTTTGGTCTTAGCTGGGAGAACTGATGCTGGAGTTCATGCTTTGTGTACAACAGGTCATGTAGATTTAGATCTAAAACCTTCTGTTAATTATGTAGATAGGAATATTGCTGTACAAATGATGAATAGACATTTAATAAAAAGTGGTCATGAAATTAGAATTTATTCTTTTCATGAAGTCAGTCCAGAGTTTCACGCAAGATTTTCAGCAAAGTTAAGAACATATATGTATAGATTTATGATTTCAAAAAATCCAGGTGATCACAAAATTCCATTAGCTGAATTTGGCAGGACTTTACATTTGCACTTACCTGAATTTGATATAGATAAAATGTTTAGTGGTATAGAGTTGTTTCGAGGGACAAAAGACTTTAAAACATTTAGTTCATACTCTATTCGATCCAAAAATCACAAAGAAGATGAACACAAGAGGTGTTTTGTAAGAACGTTAGATGTTACTATGGAGACAGCATCTGCTCTTATGCCATTTGATCCACTATCAATGAATTTCAACTATTACCACATTATTTTCAAATCAACATCATTTTTATACAATCAAATTAGACGTATAGTTGGAGCTCTGATTTCTCTTGCAGCTAGTCGTGTCACAGAAAAAGATATAATAACTATGCTACAAGTTCCTTCTCATCATAATTGGAATACTCGAATTACACCAGCATTCCCTCATGGACTTTATCTTATGAATGTGGACTACGATGAGAACTTAATTAAACCGTTAAATTGAAAGTATAGTAAGAGATTTTGCAAATAGACTATTGTCATAAACATGTATAAAGCTATATTACTGTATGAATTTAAAAATAAATTAAGCTTACTACAAATCACTTTAAATTATAATCATTTTTAAAGAATTATTCACCATAAAAACCTGATTGTTGTTTCTTTTAAATCATTAATTAAAAAAAAAATAATAATTTCTATACTTGCAATAAAAATAATTTAAAATCAGTTTAAAGTATTTTTTATTTGGAATAAGGTATTTTTATGGAAATTTGAAAACATTCTTTTATAATTATTTTTCATAGATCATTGTAAACAAGCGATATTTCAAACTATTGAACAATTTTTATAATTATTGTTGTTTTACAAAGTTATCTGATTCCATTAAAGTTCATAAATTAATTTGCTGTTCGATGATTGAGTCAATAGCAATTTTGAAATACACCAACCACCAACGACTGTTTCGATCATATCAGGCATCTAATACTACGTGTCAACTTCTTGCTTGCTCTCGGAAATGAGATTTAGAAATATATCTTAAAGTCCGAACTTTATTAACGTAGCATAAGACAAAACGTTACAGAAAAGAAAAAAAACTGCACTTTACCAACAATTAGTGGATGCAACGGAACGCGAAATATTGTAATCGATTTTAGTTAAGACTCATAAAACTAGTCGATTTTAGTTATTTACACAAAAAAGGAAAAGTTTTGAATAAGATTTACATAATCTACTTCAAAATTCATAATTTAGGGTAATTTTTATATTAGTGTTATCAATGTTATCGTCAGGTTCACGCGGTGCTTTTTCTGTAAGATTTTTTAAACACACTCTTTCATCCGGACATTAATTCGCGATCCGCGAAGTTCAAAATCCAAATTCTTTTCAACGATTAAAAATCGATAGTACCTAAATGAGATTAGGTTAAGGGATTATTTTGGTAAGTAATTATGCCCACGCAACTTTGCCAGAAAAAACCATTTGATCCCATCCATGCTGAAATCAATCTTTATGAAAATACTTTAAATTTTGAACTTCGCGGGTTGCTAATTAATATATAACAGACAGGTATTATATATATCATTTTTATAATTGAAAGTTGTGCTTCGCTTACGCTTGAGCTGACGCAATTCTATATATTTGTTGATTTTATGAACAGAATATTTTCTTTCTCAGTCATTTAATACACATACACCGTGCATTGGCTGCAGACCGCCAAGTTGGATTTTCCACGGATTTCGCTCATGTGATGATCTGATTGCGGTTATATCAGCCTTAGTATAGGTATGGACTAACGCATTGACACGTTGAGATTGTAAATAGTACTAATGACGACTTCAAAAGATCTAAATGTGGCAAGAAAAACGCTTGTCGCTTCACTCGGTGAAAATACCAAATTTTATTTCGAAAAAATGAAGCTGTGGTTTCAAATGAAAACAACGAAAGAAGAATTTGATAAGGCAGCCAGAAGTGTAATGACTGAGGATCAAGTACACTTGCATAATGACTTTCTTTTGTGTTTGTTCAATAAAGTAAGAGGCCTCGGTGCTGCAGCTCCACTGAGAATGAGCAAACTCAATAGTACTCAGAGTAATTCACAAAACTCAAAGGATAAAAGGCTGCGATTAAAAAGAAAATACAAGTCAGACAAAACTAACTTTGAACCAGCAGATGTGTATGCAGAAGTTTTAAGTCGAGCTTCTTCTCTGGGAGGTGATGAACCCACTGGTGCTAATCGTTCTAGTGCACAAGAATTAGTGCTACCAGATAGAACTTTTGTGTTGGCTAGATTGATGTTAGCTGCTTGGGAGAATAACATGGATGGTGCCGAAGATAACACTGCACACATTATCATAGCTGCAACTCAAATTTTTTTGAAAAATATTCTTACAGCTATGCTTACCCGTAGAAAAGGTTTCAGTGTTCGTGATGAGTCTTTTATTTACAACATTGGGGAAGCTGTACCAAGTTCATGGAAGAGGAATACATCATTTATAATTAAAGAAGCTAGATATACATATCCAACAGTCATTGCAGAACCTGCTGGCCAAATGCCATGTCCTAGACGATGTATAGAAGATGCTGAACAAGCAACAGCTTTTGCTTTGGCTTGTTCTACGCAAACTTTAGTTCCAGTTTCTTCTGCTGTTAGCATAGCTGATTTACAACAAACTTTACGTATATACAAAAATCTTGTGAATAATCATACAATATATGCTACAAATCAGGAACGACTGTTTACCTATAATACACATCCTTCAAGAGAAGAAATAGAGGCGCAAAAAATGTTAATGTAATTAAGGGGGCTCTTGTAAATTGAATGCGTTAGTTTAATGTAAAGATTAAAACCATCAAAGTATTGTATTTTTATTTAATAAAAAATGTTATCTTTTATAAAAAAATTAACTATTTTATTTTTATATAGTTCATGTTTTTCTATAGTTTAAAAGTTTAAGAAACTCTTCAGATGATTCCTTGTAATTAATAGAAAACCATTTCATTAAATAATTAGATTCATAAAAGTATACATTATCATTCTTTATGGTGATAAAATATCCATTTATTTTTAGAATTTTAGTTATTTCATATAGATGTAACTAATAAAGTCTATTATGTTGTGTCAAATATATTTTATTATTTTACATAAGATATATATGAGGTACTTTTTTATTTACAACAGTTCAAGATATTAATTTGGACAACAGTCTATTTTATCATTAATCAACAATATTTAGCTATGAACATACATAAGTGAAAATATTAAGAAAATGTATTCAGTACATGTTCATGATTACAAAAGGATGAACATGCCAAAACTACACTGATCTAATTTTAACATTTAAAATACAAAACTTATAATAATTACATAACAAGTCACTTTTACTTTTTTTTTAATTCAAGGTGACCAAACTAAAAATTATAAAAAATAATTTTTAGAAAATTTTGATTTGATAAAATATTAAAACAATATTTTATAATTAAAAATAGTCCTTTGATAGGAATTAAACTTTTACTCCAGTTAATTAATTTTGTTTTAATAATATATATATTTTGTAAATAAATTTAATTATCCATACTATCGTTAACGTAAAATTAGTAGAATGGACTTTGATGGTGTTCTAGCATGAAATACTTTGAGAAATAATAGTAATAAAATTGCAAGTTGCTTAATTATTTTTAGTTAATTATGAACAAAATTAAATGGAAAATTATGAATGGATAAAGAATAAAAGCAAAATTGAAAGTTGCATTAACAAATTTAATCAATGTATAGATGTCTAATTTAGAATTAAGAATATAATTCTGTATATAAAAAATACTGGAAGCAAAATTGAAAGTTGCATTAACAAATTTAATCAATGTATAGATGTCTAATTTAGAATTAAGAATATAATTCTGTATATAAAAAATACTGGTATTTCACACAAACATAAACTCTTGTATCTGTTTGGAAAAATTAATGTTTAAAGAAGTCTCATGAAATTTTCATTATACTCAATAGTTATAATAAATTATACGTGAAAAAATTAGATTATTCTAAAATATGATTTGAGAAATAATCAGACTTATGCTTGATGAGGATGGGCTTCTTCATTATCAGTTCTTCTGCTACTTTTGCTTTTTTTTGATCTGTATTCTTCCCATTTTCTGTGATTGAGAACTTGAAAGTCATCTAACTGTGCAATGAGTTCTAAATATTTTGCCAATTTGAGTAATTCTGTGTCTTTATGTCTATTTAAATGAGCTTGACGAAAAGCTCTTATTCTAAGTCCTGATTGAGGATTCATAATAAAATTCCTCCTTATATCGTCAAACATAATTGTGTTTTTAGCAGAAAACTGTTTGTACTTTCCCCATATAACTCCTAAGGGTTTGACATCAACAACACCATATTTTCGAGTATGTACAGAAATCATGGCTAATGAATCTAAATGAAAAGCTATCTTGTAATCTGGATGAGTTGAAACTCCTAAAAGTTTCATTTTCTCATTAATCCACTTCATGCTTGTAGCAGACCAAATTACTATGTCATAGTTTTTATAAGCACTTGTCAAAAATTCATGTAAAAAAGGTCGCATTAATTCAAGTCCTGTCTCTGCTACAGATCTATGATCAAAAAGTGTATAATCAATGTCAAGTACCAATAACTTTTTGCCTTCTCGCAATGGATTCAATTCTATGATTTCATAAGTTTCAATTCTTTTCTGAATTTTGGCTAAATAAATTTCAGCTTTCTCAATTTCTACTTCTTCTTCTTCAATATCTAAATCATTGATAACATCAGGCATATTTTCTGGTGCTTGACTTGCTTCTGCAATATCTTCTTCTCGAGAACCCATCATCATGAGTTTGAATCCAGGTTTCAATCCTAATTTACTTATTATATCACAGTCTTGTGCAGCTTTTCCTAAAATCATAAATTTCTAAAAATGAAATCAAAAATTTTATTAGAAAATTATTTTCTCTGTCTAAAAATTTTGCATTCAATTTAGAATACTGAATAAATTTAGATTGTATTAATTGAAACAAAATTGAAAAATTTTACAATCAAAATAAGTAAGTAAACATTTCGAGGAGTTGTAAAGCTTATGATGCAAAATCGACAAAAAAAATAACGTTCATATAACAATAAAACAAGAAAAACGTTCATTTAAACAATGTAAATAGTTAAGCTAATATGATAAATTATTTATATAATAATGATAAAAATATATGTATATAATGTAATTATTTGAGAATATCTCGGAATAAATAAATTTGCAAATACTAGATGCAAAATATAACCTTTAAATTTGAGATTAAGTAATTTTTGCCTTTCTGGTCTAACACCGGTCAAATTTTCAATCTTTTCTTTCAAGGAAAGAACTGTATCATTTTCCTCGATATCTGTGATAGGATATTCTTCGCCGCTCCATTTCACAGTGATTTTTATTTCATTCGTCATTATCTTGTCAACGAGAACAACACTATTGAATGATATGATCACTCTAAAGACGCTTCGTTGTTAATGTTGGTAAAGTAGATTACTTCCGTGACTTTTATATTTATTACTCGCAGGCCACTGCCAGGTGGTGCTGCCTCTACTTCTGCACGAAACAACCATATTATTACATATATCTAAATTTGAAAACCTGCTGTTACATGTTGCTTTATTTACTCTTTTTTTAATCTGTTTTAATTAAACTTCTACTCTTAAATTATCCGAATATATTATGTGATAATAATTTAAATGTCTTCATATTTTTTCCAAAAATAATTTTTCTTGCTATTATTTTTTTTAATAATTTTGTATCAATTAATTATAAAATTATTTTAACGAAGTCTATATAGAATCGCAAAATTTTGATATCTGCTAAAACTTCCGAATTTTTTTGCTCTTTTTATTTAAGTATATAATGATGGACGATGCTTATGAATATTAGTAAGAAAGTTTTTAGGTGATTTAATCTAATGTTCATTAACAATTGATATTGTCTTCTTTTGCGTATTACTTCATCTGAAATCTATTTGTAATAATTCGTGAAAGTAATATATACAGTAGTAATCAAGAGCTTCAATATGTCTTGTACGACCAAAATGAATGTTTTCCGATTCAAGTATCCCTGATCAAATGTCATAATAAAAGTCGTTTACTTGAAGGTGCATTGTAAATAACGACATTGTTTTATCTTTTGTACCTAATTTTTTTTAATTGACAACAGTTGCGTCATATTGAATGGTGGTTCAGTAAGTTGGAAATTAAGTTTTAAAGTGGACGGGAGGTGCGTGTTTACATGCTAATGACTATAGGAAACCAAGACTAATGCGTAAAAGTACTTGGTGTACCACTACAGTGTGTCACGTGAACGTAGTTTAGGTCGACTGTAGTCTACTTAATAGGTAAGTCAGAAAAAAGATTAAAATTAACGTTATTTATATATCGTCTATAAAGTCAGATTTTGATGATGATTATTGATTGATGTCATTTGCGTTGAAATCAGCGTTATTTTTGATCACAAAAGATTAAATTAAAGAGTTTTGATTTCTACATTTCGTATCAATTTTTTTAAATTATAGTAAGTACAGTTTAGCTCAAGACACGGGCAAAAGGAATAAGTCTTAATTTTAGAGTTTTTTCTTATTATTGCCTATAGATGGAAGGCCTATTATAAGATGGTTTTAACATTATTTCATACACTGTAAGCTACCATAGAGGATTTCTCCAAATTTTAGGAAAATCGTTAATCCGATAACCTGATACTCACCATGTAAGTTTGGACAATATCAAGTTAAACTAACGATATATATATAGTTATATGAATGAATACGACGAGATACACTATACAGACTAATATGACAGTTACAATAGACGTTTCTTGTAACTAGTAAAAAGGTATGTAATTTTAGAGAACGATAAAGAGAAATTGATGGAAAACCAAAAAAATAAAAAAAAAAACAAAGTATAGAAAGAAGAAAAAGCGAAATTGAAAATTGGAGAGTGGGATTTTAAAAGCAAAGATAGCTTAGCCCTTACCTTATTACAAAATCCCCATCCTTCGCTGCTTCTTTCATTCTTTTAATTGAAATAGGGAATCTTTCCTGATTGTCGCACGACAATTTATAGAATAATTTAATGTCTATACGGATTTAAAGAATAGCTTTAGAAATTTGGGGTGTATAATTGAGTAAGACAATTAAAGCTGGTCGTTGGAATTTTCAAATTCCATTGATTATTGTTCGTATTTTATTTTCCCGTAAAATATTTAGCCAATTTGCACGGTGAGATATGGAATCGACTTTTACCTAAATGCCAGCCAAGTTGAATAACTTTTACTCAATTTTTTGAAAACTTGAATCGCTCTAGATATGTAATTCATTCCAAGTTTCTCTTCGTAATAGTAGTCAATTTAAATCGGTAGAATTGTGTTTTATGTTTTCATATTGTAGTGAGCATTGTTCTTTCCTTCCCTCAATGATCGACATATGTACAAAAACAATAATTCATTTTTTCGTTATACATACTACATAAAGACAATATATATGACCGAAAATTTTCAAATAACTTGTTGAAATAAGATTAGTTGTTATTAAAAGGACAAATTATTACTAAAATCATTAGCACGGACACAGCACACGCCGGTAAACTTGGGTGAAATTTCCATTAGAGAATTCACAAGTAAAAGTTCGATCAGGTTTGCTAGAGTCATATGAGCGAGCCACTTAGCGAGGTGGTCGACAGAGAGAGAGAGAGAGAGAGAGAGAGAGAGAATGAGAGAGAGAGAGAGAGAGAGAGAATGAGAGAGAGAGAGAGAGAGAGAGAGAGAGAATGAGAGAGAGAGAGAGAGAGAATGAGAGAGAGAGAGAGAGAGAGAGAATGAGAGAGAGAGAGAGAGAGAGAGAGAGAGAGAGAGAGAGAGAGAGAATGAGAGAGAGAGAGAGAGAGAGAGAATGAGAGAGGAGAGAGAGAGAGAGAGAGAATGAGAGAGAGAGAGGAGAGAGAGAGAGAATGAGAGAGAGAGAGAGAGAGAGAGAATGAGAGAGAGAGAGAGAGAGAGAGAGAGAGAGAGAGAGAGAGAGAGAGAGAGCAAATCACTTCTGATGTAGGTGTGCGAGAGAGAGAGAGAGAGGCAGCGCGCGACGGCCTGCTGGAAATGAGGCCGCTCTCTGCGCGAACTTGTCTCATTGAACTTCGCGCAGAGAGGTGGCTCGGGTGCGAGAAAGGACGACGACTGCGAACTTTCATAATAGAGCCAGCTCTCCGTTCTCCCTATAGCAGCACGTGCCCGCTAAAAAGTTATTGTCTCAATTACCGGAACCATCGTCGCCACCGTCGCTGGACAATCCGTCCCAATTAATCATTACGCCTGATGAACTTCCTCGCGTGCAGATTGTTACGTCGATTGTCTTTCCCGATATTTTATGAAGCGCCTCGCTGATTTCACCTGACTGTACCGTACGCACGACTCCAGTCAATCGAGCAGATATTTTTCCAATGCGATCATGAAAACATCATTGAAAGATTCGAGGCCGCGTCGTTAGCTTTAAGTTGACAACTGTACAGGCTTAACTCGATGTTTGAGCCGCGATATCTGAAATGAGATTGATCAATTCTGACAAGAAAGCCTTAAGTGAAACGAAGAAAGTCGACGGCGATCTGTACCCGGCGAATCGGCGCCGGCAACAATAACTGCAGCGAATATCGCTAGTAAGCTTCAAGCATCCAACCGGATGTAATTAGAGGTTTTGCGTTCAAGCGACGCGTATAATGAGTATTTACGTGTAGGCGTGTAGAGAGCCGCGAGTGCACACATGGTTTTACTGCGATTCGCGTCCTTTATGAGCCGCAGCAGTACGGCTTCCCACGTGCGTACCGGTGTGCGGCTAGACGCCTCTACCCGGTCTCCCTTGCTTCGCTCCCCGCGTTGTTTTGCTTAACTCACACGGCAAAGCTACCACCACCTCCTCGTAGTAATGCTGGTACGTGAAAACAATTAAAAATACGAAAGTTGGTACGTTTCAAATACACATTTGCAGAGCATCCAAGTCCCAAAGATGCTCGAGCTTTTCCTACCTTTTGAGAACTCTGCACTAAAGTATGCTTACACCACTTCATGCTCAAATATTATTCAATGGATAGGAATTTTTAAATTAAATTTGGTCTTATGATTGAATTCAACAGTTTACCAAAAGTTTATACGGGCTAATTTGATCGCAATTTTGGAAGTTCGACATCATCTGAATATCGGAAGCTTCAATGCTTCGTAAAGCTCAAATCAGCTTAAGATTTCTAGGTAAGTTCAAATAAGATTGAAATGAATCGAGTCGAAATTTGACAGAAAATTATTCTTAATGCAGTTTCATTGTCAACAGCTTTATTATAAAATCATACGAATTTTTTAGAATGCTGCTTTTTATAGCTCAGTAACAAAACAACGAAAGGTATTTCTGAACTCTAAATTAAAACATTTCGAAAGTCTAATATACTTCTTGTATGATAGAATTCACGTAGAATTTGATCGTTAGAATAAACTTACAGATACCGATATTTCTTAAAGAATAATTTAATAATATACTTTGAAATAGTGAAAGAGTTATTATACGTCTATTACACGATCACATATTTTATAAATTCATTTTTCATAGTGGAATTGACTTCTTTCCAAAATTCAATTACACAATTAGGGTGAAGATAGTCATGTGAATAATTGAAATTTGAAAAATAATTTTCAGTATTTTTTACTATATTTTGATCAATGGGCCCTCTCGTTGATACAGTTCTATGCGATGAAATTGCCTAAAAGATTTTTTTATATTGGAATAATTTTTCACGAAATACCATAGAAACTTTAATGTAAAGCATTTGATTTTCATTTTACAATTTTTTGATACTTATAAAGTCCAATTACCAGCTCTCGAAGTAATAACAGTTTGAATCATCAATTTTTTGGTTAATGTGAGAAGAAGAAAACGAACTGCTACTCTTCGTCCCCTATAGTCAGAAGAAAGAAAACAAATGAAGAGGATCATCTAGTTAACGAGGGTAAGGGTATAGGGCTTAAGTTAAAGTGAAGTCTAGGATCAACTGATATCAAAACAGCAAGCCATTTCCTTACAAGATTTCCGCTTGACATGGAATGTGAAAAATAGGCTTCTTATTGTAATGAATATCTGTCATTAAAGTAGCGATTAAGTAATAAACTTCACAAGTAAGAAACTATCGACGATCATCAGCGTACACTAATACTTATCCATATACACTTAGAAATACTTCTAATTTATCATTTTTCCGGTCGACAGTTCAACAAAGTTATCATTTTTTCCCATCTTTATTTTTTATATTACTTTTCAACAAATTGTTGTATCCCGATAACCAAGTCAATTCAACAAATTGAAGTTCAAAGTTTAAATAGTCATAAAATACTTGAATTTCACAAGAAAGGAATCGATAATCCCTGTATGCATTACATACATATGTCAGAGTTATTATTATGAGATAGTCATGCTATCAACAGTTTTATACCAAAATGACTGATAAGAGACCGAGTTATCAACTGTTCAAAAAATATGGGATTTTTTTTTGTTTCTCATCTCAATTTGATTTCTCATAGAAAAATAAAGATATTAATATGAATTTTTTTTAATAGACGCGGATAGACTTAGAAAAAATCGACAATATCTCAAAAACGAATATAATTTTCCAAAAATTTTGCACCCTTCCTTTTTATTTAATACATAAGAAACTGTTGTGAAAACTGAGTACCCACTATTAATATGAACACAGCGCCTAAATCAAGCGAACCGCGTGCTAGCTGTTCAGCCGCCCGTTGCGCTCGTGCGGTACATGTCCAATGTTGTACGCGGCAAACGCCTGTAAATAACGAATAATTAATTTCATATTCTATTGTTTATAATTATTTCATTAAATAATATATAAATAAATAAATTAAACTAATTTTTTGTATAATCTAACAATTGCTCTCTGCGCTTGATCGGGCTGAAAACGGACGCATATTTATAAAGCGACCAAATTAAAAAGTTTTGTTAGAAAATAAAAATGTCCATTTTTAAAGTCCTTTAGAAGTTTCTAGGTTTCTGAAAGATTTATTATGAAAAACAAATGGTGCTAAAAACATTTTTTTAATTCATAGCATTATGAATTTGAAAAAAGTTTTTACACGGAGAATTTTCAGTTTCATTTCATTTTTTAATTTCATAAGTTATATAAAAAGTAACACTTGAGAACGTAAAAAATTTTGAAACTACAATCTTTCAAAATGTTGCTTCTCGCAGATGCAATGCTAAGAGCACAGACAGGTGGTGTATGCATACGACTCTGATTAAAGAAATACAAATATTCGCAGTTTTATAGGAATATCGACTTAGTCTAGAATTTCCCATAGGCTTAAAGAAATACTTATAGAGTGATAGAATATTAAATTATTTATTCGATAAAGGTGTTTGCCGTGTACAGCGTTGGACATGTATCGCATGAGCAGCGGACGGCCGAAGGACTGACGCGCGCTTCGCTGTATTACGGTACTGTGCTAACCCTAATAGAGGGCATTCGAATTTTACGACGATTTTTTATGTGAAAAATGACAACGATTACGATGCAAATGTTTTTGAAAAAAATATTGTTTTTTTGAAAAAATTGTGTATAATAATCGTATAAATAACTAATTTAGCTGTTTACCTATATATTTTAAAAGTGAAATTTTTCCCATATTTTTTGTACAGTTGATAACTCGGTTTTTTATCAACATTTTGGTATAAAATTATTGACAAATGTTGACCTTTATATAGGTAACAAGGATACAAACTTCGAATAATATTGGTGAATTCGATATTACGAGCTGTATGAAATAGCCAAGAATAATCCTACAATGGAAATTATGTATATAAGATTTACGATCGATTCTCATCGAGTTTCTGTGAGCGTCTTCGCTGATTCTCCGTGCGGGAAAGCGGTTAGAATACTTTGGAGTTTCAAGTCTTGTAAGTACCGGCTGAAACATTAATATTGAAAGGTAACAGGTTTGTCGGTTTGAAGTTATGTAAATTCCTTGAACGAAGTTTACGATTCCGTGCAAGTGGTATTCTCTTAAACAGGGAACATGTCGAGTGCGAAAATATTTTTAATTGATTACAATCAGTCGTTAAGTTCGGTCTGCGATAACGTTCTTGCAAGCATAAACAGTGAATGTTACATTCAACAGTGCTTGAATAATTATGTGCAGACTGTGAGTATTGAATTCAAACAAAGTTATTCGAAGGTGACAGCAGCATTTGATTGCGAGCTGATCTGCTGCTCATTATAGCTCGAACAAGGTAATGAGATCAAACTGGAAAGTTGGCGAGTAAGGAAACGGAACAGCATTTGCTTGAATGGAAGGGAGAAGGGAAAATGGTAAAGTGTCTAATTATTGTTGGAGCAAGTGCTCGATCGCAGCTGGTGGCGTCGACAAGGGATGACGTCAGATGAAACGAAACGAAGTGTCATCGGACAACAGTGTCTCGCACGAGCGCGGATCCCAATTGGCCACAAATTCGTCATTGCAACTCATCGTTGCAGTAGCAGCAGCATTATAGAGCCGAAAATATTCTAGTGTAGCTCGATGTAGAAAGGCAAGCGAGCGAGCGAGAGAGCGAGGGAGAGGGTGGTGCGCAAGCAAGCAAAGCAAGTAAGCAGCAGCAGCAGGCGGAGCCTCGTGGAGGCGCGCGTTTTACTGGCACGCGCCCTCTCTCCGTGTGTCGGTGCAGCGCTCAGGCAGGCAACGGGTCAGTCAGTCGACGACGTGCGCCAAGTTAAGCTCGCGGTCTACATTCCTTGCTGTCTATCCCATTGCGAAATCGGTTGCCGTTACATCAACTCTTAAAGCGTGCCGATCTTGATCTTACCCACGACAGATTTGTCGAGTCGGATGTGCAGTTGTCACGATCGCAGCCAACTGTATTTTAACAGTGACCTTTGCCTCGATCTCTGTGCAATAAAGTTGCTGTGTCGCCGAGTATCGCTGAGGAGTGTGCAGCTTAACGAACAAACAATCAAATCAAGCATGGCTCGTGCTACTTCGTCGTCAGTTTTCAACGCTCTTCCCTTGTTGCTCGTCGCGCTCCTTGCTTGCGTCGGTAAGTCACCAATTTAATTATTTCCTTCACCTTGTCGATCTCTCGACGATAAATTGATTAGGCGCGCAGAATGTCAATGGATAATCTTTCTCATCTATACAAATGGCTATTTTCTGCGGTTCTACCGATCACAGTGCCACGATATCATAAGTAGCTAGTCAAATATTTTTGTAAGCCTCCTATTTCAAGGGAGGAATATTAAAAAATAAACGTTGTCGTAAATTAATTTTTTTAGTGCCAGGACAATCTTTGGAACCCTAAATATTAAATTGTACTATTTATTTTTTCCAAATATTTATTTCTATACAATGCTTATGACTGCTTTATTCTATTGTTATGAAGAATAAACATGGGAACTATTGGTAAATTCAAATGAATTTGAATTTAATTGTATAAATATAGTTAATTGGATAGTGTACTACGATACTTTTGTCGCATATTGATATTTTCAATTGTTGAATGTTGTATGCAAAGTTCGGTTTGTAGCACGCCTTTGTGACTAAGCTCACGGAGAAACGTACCTTTCGCAGAGTGTATTGACTGAAATTTTTATAAACGTTATGACTTTATTTTCTGTTATTACTAAATTCATTATTCCTCATGAAAATATAGGTATATAATTTTCTTGCAAAATAGATGATAAAAATAATTTCTTTCTTTTCTATAGAAAATATCTTTATAAAAATATGAATACTTATTAATTTTTCATTCGCAATCAAAACTTTATAAATATAAAACATAATAAAATATTTTGCAGTGACAATATTCGAACTTATAAGTGTGCCATAGCAATATTAGATGTAAATTACATTTTCTATCTTTAGTGGTATATAATGTCATTAAAAATTAAAGAAAATAGCAAATGTTTCCTTCGGAAATTAAATCTATATATCTTATTGGAAGTATTTTTCACGACAATTCCCTTGAAGTTTCAGAGAAGTTTTGAACTTACTTTAAAAGAAAAAGTTTGATGTTTCATAAATAAATAGGTAATTCGGAAAACTATTTTTTAAATGTTATAAATTTTATCAGACACAGTGACGAATGTTTATTTTCAAGCATTTTTTATTTATCTATTCAAATAACAGTCAATAAAATCGGGTTTTTATACCCATAATTTTGAAAACTTTGATTACAAAATATAATTTATTTGCGTAAATATTAAATTTTGTTGCTAACATAGCATAGAAAGATGTGATATGCAAATTTACATGATCGAAGAAAGCTGTAAACTGACGCGCATTCCAATATCTATTGTGCTATAAGAAAACAGTACACATTGGAACGCTTCAGTACCTTAATTGTGTTATGAGAATGCTAAGTACGAATTTTTAAAAGTAACTAAAATAAACAATGAAGCGCGTGTATCGATAGCCCTAGTTTTATAATCGTCAGTAGTATAGTACGAATTCGGTCAGCCGCCAGTTTCACAAACACGACAATGAATCTTTCCATCTGTGTCCTATTGACGTTTAAACTTCCGATTTCTTCTTTTTATCGTACTCAAGACATATTTCATTTATGCCAGAGGAATGATTTCTGTTGGCTATTCGCCCACGTATACATATCATTACAGTCTCCTACTTTTACAATGACAGCCAAAATGTAGACGATCCATGTTAGCGTATACGCAGTACAATATTATTCAGGCATATCCATGGTGCTGTGAATTCCTTGCAATTTACATCGACTTCGTTCGCGTTGACAAAGATATACTATCTGACGGGTAACATAAAACTTCATCAAGTAAGGGTGGCCGCACATTGCGACGCAAAGTATAAACCTTCAATGCATAAAGCCGATGCACTATCCCAGTAGTTTCGAATTTCCAGACAGCATTTCAAGCTGTTTCTGACGATATTTACGAGAATTCACCCGTTTACCAATGGTTATCATTTGTGAACTTCGATTATATATATATATATATATATATATATATATATTCATTCATAGTCAGCAAAAAGGAAGAAAGTAATTTGGAAATTGATGTTCTTCGCAGCACTGAATCAAAGACACATGAATAATGAAAGCCGTCAAGACTATATAGCGGTGAATCCGCGTGAAAGACGAGCATATTAATTTGGGAAATAGCTCTTCGGCATATCCTTTTAATTAACCAGCGAAAAAAGAGCGAGAGATTTCACTTGAAAATCAAATTAACATTTGGCCAGAGCATAAAGGTTTGGCTGCTTCCAATTATTTCGGCTGATGCATAATGCAGGAGCAGCAGTCCTCGAGTCCCAGTCGAACGCGCGCGGGAAGAAGCGTGTCAGTTTCGACGCCGCCGCACGACTCTTTTATCGGTACGAGGTGCTCGCGAGACACTGCAATGGACTGTTTTATCGCGAGCTCGCTTCGGGCTTTTATTTAAGTTTTGCTAGTGGCCGTTCGAAAATGGCGCGGAAACATTTTCAACTCTCTAGCGCTCTCCTCCTCCTCCTCCTCTTTTGCTCCTCTGTAATGGCCAGTGCGATGGCCTATTGTTCGAGATTGGACGGCCCTTGTGACATTTTAATGCGAGCACTGCACCGACAATTGGCCCACTCGAAAAGTGTAATTGTTGCCTCTTTTTCTCCTCACACCTCTGAAAATGCCATTTGAATGGACTCGTTATCGAAAAAGACGACGGATAGTCAGAATTTTTTTCACTTGTGTCCGATTGAAATTTCGATGCTTAATCCTCGTTATATTGCCTGCAGCTCTTTTATACGAGCAACGTGTTATTCTTTCATATTACATGCTTATACAGACTACAATGCAACATCCTGCTCTGAATGGCGTGGTCCATACACCTTTGCCACACGACTGACCTACATACGCTGGTTTTAATAATTTAATACAAGTCGCGCCCGAGCATTGAAAATAACTGCGCGGCGCGCATCGAACAATATTTACAGTAGCGCCTACTCGCACAACATCATTATCTCTTCGAAGCGTGTATAACATTGTTATTCGGTGAACATTGCATCGCCGATAAGAGATAGGGTCAATAGCGCGCGTTTCAAGGCAAAATCCGATTGAGCCGATAGTTACGATCGCCTGACTAGACAAAGGATCGTTCGATTGCAATTAGAACGAGCGAGAGGCGATGTCTAAAGTATGAGGCGGCAATGAAAGCAAGTCTGCGTGAGTTAGCACCAGGCTGTTTTCACTCGCAATCAATGTATTATCGCAAGCCCGTCGGTCCTACTGCATTGGCCTGCTACAACGTATTACAGTTTCCTAGTGCACTCGCGGAACGGGTCAGACAATCGCCGATTCCGGCGAGAAAATGCGAGCGAGAACCTACAAAATGCAGTTTGGCGGTTACTGATTGATTACATTTATATATTGATCGATTCTAGGGCAGCCAGGGGGGGGGGGGACCGTTCGCAACGAAAAACCCAATTCTCTCACGGACCAAGTATAATTTTCTGTTTACTCGAGAATTATTTTCTTACGAACAACGCAATTGGTTTGCAAACACTCTTATTAATTAACTCTTATTAATGTCATTCCTATAAAGGTTATCAAATAATTTTGTGTACATATACATTTGAAATTTAGATATGCTTTCTTTTGCTATCTAATTATTTAGAAAATTAAGTTTTACGAATGCAGTTTTGACAAATTATTGAAATATAAATTTATATTCAATATATTTTCGTTTAAAAAATTTTTCAATCTCATCTTATTAAAAAACTGTGAATATGAATTTGTCGTTTATTCAGAACTTTTCATCGATTATATACAATATAATTGTTCATAAATCATATACAAATGGTTTGGTTCTACCAAAACAAGACCAAAAATTGAAGCATAAAATAATACAAAAATATACTTAAAGAAAGGAAAGTGTTTACTTTGAAGTATCATGTCTCGAGATTGATTTCATCCAATTGATCGTGCGTCAATCCATTCGAAAGTTACTTTCATGGGCTTCAAAATAAGTCATCTTTTGTCATATAACTGTTTCTTAATTGAAAGTTACAGCAGTTTGCGTATAGTAGTTTTAAAGAATTTCCTACCTGGTCACATTAATAAAACAATATTGTTTTTAAACAATAGCTATAAAATTTATATTAACCGATACACATATTTGGCAATAATTTTCCCATTTACTTTTTAAAATTTTCTAATATATGAACAAATATTTATAAATACCCATCACGTAGAAAAGTCATATTGATTAAGAGAACATTATAACACAAGCGTCCCCACGGACAGACTTGCTAAAAATATGACTTTTCGTCTCTTTCTGATTTTTGATAAAAATTATATCAGGTAACTTTTAATTAATCGAACGTAAAAGGTTCTTATGAAAAAACTAGATTCAAGTATAATAGGACAAAAAAAAACCAAAATTTATAGCCGCAAATAAAATATTTTCAAAAAAAGGGAAAACAAAGTTTTCACTCTAATGAAGCAATATCTATTGCAATTATTATCAACTTCTTGAAAAATATTATATAACTCCTCTTATTCCAGAAGAATTATTTTGAATCCGATTTAGGTACATCGATGAATATTTCTTGTGACCATCATTTAACGCTATCATTAATAACTTGCACATGACTATACAATGATTTCCATACTCATTGAAAGTAATTTACACGCTGTAGGCTATCTATTATGACCTACTGTAGAGTATTCATTAGTAAGTAGCCGATAATGGATGAACGAACAATATGCTGGTTTGTAAATGTATTGACTCTAATTGCATTTTAGAATGTATTCAACGAAATAACGAAGTGCGCCGAAATGACGGCAATTCTCTATTTATACAACGAATACTCAGCAATTGATAAAATTCAATCTGCATCCGTGCAAAGAAACGGTTATTCAAAGAGGCATTTCATAACTTCTCGCAAAATGTTTAAAAGTAAATAATATTCATACGCAACAGTTTGCGTACAACTTTGCCAGTATCACATTAGAAAATCGTTACGTTCGAACATTTACCAATAATCGCAAAATTGAAAAAAAGACATTTTAGCAGATCGCTTAACAAAGAAAGCTTC